CCCCAAAACCCCAAAACCCCAAAACCCCAAAACCCCAAAACCCCTGGGAGCTGAGAGAGCATTGAAATGGATTTTAGAGGTGTTATTTGGTGATGTGGAATTTGTTAAATTCGATGTCGATGTTGTAATCTTGTCTAGGGAGGTATTTTTTGATGGTTCTACCGATTATTTCGTCTCTTGAGAGTTTGTAGGTGGTTGTAGATGGAGAAGATTTTACCTTCCAGATTGAGTCGACTCTACTTTCTTTGTTTAATATCATTTCTTTGAACTTGGAGTTTAGTATTTGTTGATCTGAGAATAATCCAGACTTTATCATTAATCTGAAGGTACAAATATATTCTCCAAATGATTCCTCAATGATAGACTTAGCTTCAAGGAGCTTTTGAATAGCCTTCTCTCATTTTTCTTTTATAACTTCTTCTTTCTTGAACAAAATCTTTTTCAGGAAATTGAACTGCTTTTTATTTGGATTCAAAGAAGCAACAAAATAATCAATTTCTCTAAGATTATAGTTATCTGTCATCTCTGTAATTCTATACTTAGAGACACAGTTCAGCTTCTTAATTACATCAAACTCAGTTTCATATTCTTTACCCAAGTCCTTCCAATACGAAGGAGTGAGGTTTCCATGAATATTATTGATCAGCATTTTGAACACTGAATCAATAAACAGTTTGTGTTTGTCTATATAAATATGATGATACTTCTGAAAAAGCTCTGCAAATGATATCATATCTTGTTTCTGCTCTAATGAATCTATGTCAATAACCTTGCCCCAGAGGTCTCTCATTGTCTTGCTAAGCCCACTCTCAAACACCTTAGAGTTCATACTCATCCCTTCGGCTATATCACTTGACTTCTGTTCTTTAAGGTTAAGCAGCCTGAGGTTCTCTCTTTCAAGCTGTTTGACCTTAGCCTCAAGTTCTTGGATGTATTCCTTCTTGCGTTTACGGGCTCTTTGGGACCTGATTCTGCCATTTTTCTTCCGGAGGTCTTCCTTGGCTGGGGTTTGGGGTTGGAGGAAGATGGATTTGGATTCAGAGAGGGGAGAGGGGCTTATGAAGGGGGGTGGGTGAGGGTCTTCTATGTTGGAGTGAGTTGGAAGTAAGGGAGTGGGGATAGTTGAGGTTTTGGAGATGGAGTTTTGGGGAGAGAGGGTTGGGGATGAGATGGTTGGGGATGAGATGGTTTGAAGAAATTGTAATAATTAGGGCTTATTTGTAAGATATGTAGGAAATTTACCTGGCTGGAACATCTTAAATATGTTATCCTCAATAATATCGTTAAAGGGATTATATTCGAGCTCTTCCTGTATGCCTTCTTTACTAAAGAACATTTTAATTAAATTATTTATATAAATTGGGGTTTTGGGGTTTTGGGGTTTTGGGG